ATCACCCCATCCTCGCCCGACTCCACTGGCTTCCCATCACATACAGTACAAGATCTTGGTCCTCACTTTCAAAGCCCTCCGTGGCCTTGCTCCCACCTACCTCTGCGACCTCCTAATCCCCTACCAACCTGCCCGCTCCCTATGCTTAGCGGGTTTTGACCTGCTTCATGTCCCTCGCCTCAGCTACTCTGGCCCCATCCTCTGGAACTCTATCCCTCAGTCCCTCCACCTCGCCCCCTCCCTTCCCTCCTTCAAGACCCATCTCAAGACACTCCTCTTTGAATGTGGCTTCGATAACTCTCCTTCCCCCCTGCCCTTCACCCTTCCTGATCCCAACCCCCAGCTTGGGTCCAAAACACTGATTGTCCAGCGCCTTAGGATTGAGAGGATGGAGCGACTGGACTATGAGGAGCAATTAGGTACACTGGCATGTCCACGCTGCAGAAACAAAGTTTGAGGAATGATATGATTGCAGTTTTTAAGCTTCTGAAGGATCTAGATAACATTGACCATAATAAGCTGTTTATCTTGTACTGAACAGTCGAACCAGAGGACACAGCCTGTGATTGAAGGGGAGTAAAATCAGAATAAATCACACATCTGGTAGATGAGAGACTGTGGTTCTCACTGCTTTTATCTCTCAATGTTGATGTTTGAAATTGCGCAACTACAACAACAAGATTATATTTGTATAGCGCCTTTCACATTGGGAGGATGTCCCAAGGCGCTGGGACATCCTCCCAACTTCTAAAGAAACAGTCAAGAAGGAAGCTGGAGAGTGCTGCCAAGAGTTGAAGAGCCTCTGACTTCTACAGGATCTTTCTCCATCTCTGCAGAACACCAACTAAATCTATCGTCCACTTCAAATAAGTATGTAAACTCCACACCCGATTTTGCTCAGAGGAACCAATGTCTTTTTGTACAGTCTATAGTTGACACACCATTGTCCAGGTTTCCTTTCATATCTCACAGGGCTCCACTTCCATTACCAGGTCAGTCCATGAGGAGAACCAGAGGGCACAAGCCCTAGGGTTGCAAAGAACAATTTCAGGGCAGACAGTACAGGAGATTTTCTTTACCCAGAAGGTAATTCACATAGAAACTTAAGAATCGATAGGAAAGCAATCTGCCATTCGACTAAAACCAGGTTCCTACTCACTGCTAGGTAAACAGGGACATGTGGAGTAAGGAAATATGTCTAAGGCTTCGTCCCACGAATGTAACCCAAGTCCTCTCGCTTGCGAGGCGAGTACACTAACCACTGTTATCTTCTCCAGCGTGAATAACCCCAGTGTACCTATTTGCTTTTCATATTCCAGCCCCTCCATCTCCTCAATCATTCTGGTGGCCCTCTTCTGTATCTCTCAATTGCTGCAATATCATTTCCCTGGATTACTACTAATAACAATCCCTACATTTGATACAGCGCCTTTCATGTCAGGAGGTCTCAAAGTGCTTCACAGAACATAGCGTAAAGTGGAGTGACTGTTTCGTGAGTAATCGTAGGGGAATAGGGTTACCAGGAAGAGTACCTGAGCCCAGGACACTGGAATCGTTTAAGAAACATCTTGAGAACATAGTGGGAAGACACTCGGGTTGACATTCTGGGAGGATGAGATGAAATTGAGCTGAAGAGCCTTCTTCATACCATCTTCTCTTGTGATGAGTGATATCTGCTGATGGCAGATCAAGCCAACCTGGCTTATCAGCACGACTTGGGAGGGGCAGGAATTCTTCCCATTCAACTCTTGGTTAACCCTGCCAGCCAAAGTCCTAATGAGTAGGATGGTCCTATCTGAACAAGTAATGGGAAAGCTTACTCGTTAAACCAGGACACTGGTTTAACGTCTCACCTGAAGGACAGCACCTTCAATAACGCAACACCTGCCCAGCACTGCATTGGAGTGGTAGCTTTAAACTATGTGAGTTCAAGGTCCTGATATGGGCTTGGCCCCATTATCCTGTAGCGCTCCGGGACTCCACCCCGTGTGAAGGGCCCTATAATAAATGCAAGTTGTTGCTGCTGCTGTTGTCGTCTTTTGATTCCGAAGCAAGTGTGCAATCAACTGAGCCAGTAATGGCAAGCTATGCGGTTTTAGTTGGTTAAACTCTAGTTAACCAGTTACCCCAACGCACACTCTTGGGTCTTCAAGCCTTGGTTCTGATCAACCAGCATCTAATACTCTGTCTACAGATTCAGGTAAGCAGGGTGAATTCCTATGGCCTTTCGCTGACTGCTCAGCCCTTCCAATTCAGAGTAGAGAAGTGTATTTGTAAACTTATAGCGCCTAACAGGTTTCATTTAACAGACAGAAAATCTATCCCGGTAAATTCAACGAGTGCACAAAAAGCTTTAGAACATAACTGACATTGTAACATTGCGAGATAGTCTGCATCAGATGAGTTTGGAACAGTTTGCAACAATATCACAGTGTGAAATATAATAATTCTTGCATTTGACCGCAGCAATGAGCCATGTCAGATAATATTAATACTTGCATTTGATATAGTGCCTTATCACATCTTCAAGATGTCTCAAAGAGCTTCACCGAATTGACTTCATATTTTGTGGACGAAACCCGGCAGCCAAATACGCCACAAACAGTCGTGGATTGACTGACCAAGTTATTACAATACATCACATCTGCTCAAATGAGCACTCAGGTTTAAACATACAATGCAATTTATATTTATATACCGCCTTTCGCATTCGGAGGATGACGCAAAGTGCACAAGTTTAAAAGCACACTTATAGTTCACTCCCTGGCCCCTCCCTACCTCTCCGACCTCCTCACTCCCCAATCCACCACCGGGCGCCTCGGCTCGACTGGCAACGGCCTCCTGCTGACAAAAAAAAATAACATTTTTCATACCCATTAACCCTAACTCGCAGCAAGATAATAATTATAATAATAATCCTCGCATTTGATATAATGCTTTTCATGGATTCTAGACGTCTCAAAGCGCTTCACAGAATATACTGTAAAGTGAATTGACTATATGTTTGTGGGCGTAACGCGGCAGCCAATTGGGCACAGAGGTGATTGAAGTGACCAATTTATTATTGTTTTTTTTTCTTGAGGGATTATTATTAGGCGTGTGGAGTAAGGAAACTTGCCCAAGGTTTTGCTCTGCCGGGAATTGAACCCCGGTCTCTCGCATGTGAGGCGAGTGCTTTCACCACTGAGCTACAGGACTCCATAAAAGATGATCATTGAGTATAGTGTAGCTGCTAGCCGGTTGCACTCAGGACTCTAGTCCGAGACATTCCATATCTGATGCATGCTTTCAATGGTATTAAATTGCAATTATTTTTCTCTGCTTATCCCCACAATTGGTCATCCATTTCTTTTGAACAGAAAGATCTTAAGGAAGGTTAATTATGTCTTTAGGCATGTGAAGCATGCATCAGATTATTAATTATTAATCGATTGGTGAATTGCTTTCCGGGGATAATAATCCCTTGAAAAGAAATTTGTTCACTCAATCCACAAATGGTTGCGGGATACTACTGTGCGTAATTGGCTACCGCGTTTCGCCCACAAAATACACAGTCAATCCACTCTAAGCATATTCTGTGAAGTGCTTGAAGACATCTCAAAACAACGTGATAAGGCATTATATCAAATGAAAGGATTATTATTATTATATGTGGAGAGGGAGCAGGAGAGCTAGTTCCAAAACATATCCACAACACATCACCACCAACAATAACAATGTGCATTTATATAGCTCCCTTCATGCAGGGCAGGGTCTCGGAGTGCTTAAATTACGTCTTGCTTAAGCCAAAAAATTCTCAAAAATAACAGAAGATCATGTATTGTAGCATCCATTGTGTAAAAATAGACATCTCAAAGAGTGGCTTACAAAATCAATTTGATTTTATCCAACGTTACACAGACAAACAAAGCAGCAAATCTTCGCTGACAATGCCACAGAAATACACGAGAACGATAATCAATGCAATTAGAAATTATGAGTATAAGGAGGGAATGCAAAGCCAGGATAAATGGGAGCAAAAAAACCCACCCTATAGTTCTTTAAACATCAGTCCCTTTATGTTCACTCGATTCACAAGGCACATTTTGCCCACAAAATACACAGTCAATCCACTTTACAATATACTTTGTGAAGTGCTTTGAGACATCTCAAGGACGTGATAAGGTGCTATATCAAACGCAAGGGATATTATTATTAATATTGTTATTATTATTAAGGCAGATAGAATCCATACCAATGAGGGTCAAAGAAAAGGGAATGATGATCTAAATTTAAATAGAGAAAGATATTACATTGTCAATCTTTGCCAGCAATATCCCAGAGAGAACAACAAGTCAAATTCATTTCATTTCTTTCTTAAGTCACTGGCACCTTTCAGTAACTGAAGGACAAGAGAAAGAAACAAAGAGGGGAGAGAGGTTGAAGAATAAACATAAATGCTCCCAATTACATTAAAATATTTCAGCCACAAAATTTATGCATTTCACACACAAGATGTGGAGTCCTGTAGCTCAGTTGCTAGAGCACTCGCTTTGCAAGCGAGAGACCTGAGTTCAATCCCAGGCAGAGCGAAACCTTGGGCAAGTTTCCGTACTCCACACAGAGCCTAATAATAATCCCTCCAAAACCCAAAACAATAATAAATTGGTCATTTTCAATCCACGACTGTTTGTGGGACATTGCTGTGCGCAATTGGCTGCCGCGTTCGCCCACAAATATACAGTCAATTCACTTTACAGTGTGTTCTGTGAAGCGCTTTGGATGTCCTCCCGACGTGAAAAGTACTATATCAAATGCAAGTATTATTATTAAGATATACAGTCAATTCACTTTACAGTATATCCTGTCAAGCAGTTTGAGACGTGATAAGGTGCTATATCAAATGCAATGATCATTATTAGTAGTAAACAGGTTTGAATGAATTGAAGTGGCTCGCAGTCTGTCCAAATTCACTCACACAATAGAACATGAGCTGCCATAAGATTGTGCAAACCTCTTACCACTTGGAAGTGGAAACAGTGAGTTGAAGACAGTCCTCTGGCGAACAAGGAGTTGTCCTATGTCTCCCCCGTATAGCAGAAGGGACTCGCAACTGACAGCCAATGGTTCCTGTGAACAAGAGCATAGTATTAGGTTATTACTGCAGGAAGTTAGATGTGGCTACAAACCCAGAGGATGTTGGATTTTATATCCAGTTGGATAGTGGGGCAGTACCTCTAGAGTGCATCACAGCTTATGGGTGGAGTTAGGCTAATGTGCCATTTAGCACAGCTCCCGCCTGCAGTCTCTCCAGCCCAGCTTCACATCTCTCTGTGAAGGGTCCCCTCACCAGGCAGTGAGGGTAGCATTCTACTCAAAGCGTCTTGTACCTGCTTGTTGCGTAAGGCTTGAAAGAGGATCTAATACATTGAACGATAATCCCTGTTTCAAACAGCACCTTTCTCATTGGGAGGATATCTCAAAGCGCTTCACACGATTAATTGTAAAGTGCACTAACTGAGTAGTTTGTAGGCAAATGCAGCAACCAGTTTACGCACAGAGATTTTCTACAAACAGCCATGAAGTGAAATGACCAATTTTACATGGGGGATTATTGGCCAGGACACTGGGACAATCAACAATGGCGCTGAAGTTGAGGATAGAGACAGATAAATGGAAGTGAACCCCATACCTGTAAATGATGTCACCGAGGAATGGGATGTAGATGATGGAAAAAAGGAGAGAAATGAAGATAGAGCCCTGAGGTGTGAGGCCATGAGGAGAAGCCATTGGATTAGATAAACTGGGGCATATAGGAGTGAAACCAGGAAAGTGCACAGCCATGGAGATGAATCAGGGAGGAGAGACAGTGGAGGAGGATGGAGTGGTCAACAGTGTTAATGGCAGCAAAGTGATTGAAAATAAAATAAATGAAGAGAATATACGACTCTTTTTGGGACACAGCTCTTCACAATTGGCTGCTGCGTTTTGCCCACAAAATACAGTCAGGGAAGGATTTATCCTGATGTATCATCCCCTCAAACCTTCCCACACCTTCATCTCTGACTCTCTGTCCTTCTAGCTGCACTCTGCCTCTGTTCTGAACGCCTCCTCATCCTAGGTGACTTCAACCTGCACTTCACCACCTCCTGCTCTATCTCCTCTCCTTTCAAACCTCCCCCCACATCCACTCTGCCACTCAAGTTCGTGGCCACCCACTCGAACTGATGATTACATAGGGCCTTAGTGTCTCGGACCTCACAATCACAGATAAAGCCATCTCAGATCACCATTTCATCTCCCTTAACTCCTCAATCCCTCTACTCACTGTCACCCAACCCACCTCGATTGCATCCCTGAAAAAGAATCTCCCCACGCTCCATCTCCGCTGCCCTGAAGTCATCTGAACTCCTCCCCCTCTGGCCTACATTCTGCACCAACTTATCCTCCTCAATCACTCTCCTTCATAACTCCTTCTCCACCATCCTCGATGCCCTTGCACCCCATCAACTCCCAAACACCTCCTACTCATGCAATTTATCCTGATACACCAGCAAACACCATTCACTCAAGGGTCAGGTGCGTGCAGCCAAACACACTTGGCTCAAATCTGATTTAACAGTCCACCGGCAGATCTGGTTGGATCTCATAAAAAATTACCGCTCTGCCCTCCCCTCTGCTAAATCGTCCTACTATTCCAAGATAATCTTGGAGGCTACAGACAACCCCAGGCTCCTCTTCTCCATCACGAGCCGGCTTCTCCATCCACCCTCTCATGCCTTGCCTATCCTCTCCTCCAACTCCAGCTGCAAGGAGATACTGGATTTCCTTGAAACCAAAATCAACATGATCCGTTCAGCCACCTCCACCCTTCCAACCGCCACCCTCTCCCCATCTCTCCCTCACACTCTGGCCCCTTCCCATTCCTCCCTCTATACCTTCTGACCTGTCTCCCCCTCCTTTCTCACCACCACTATAACCCACATGAAGCCCACCACCTGCTCCCTTGACCCCAACTCTATCCCTCTCCTTACCTCCCAGCTCTACCTCCTTGCCCCTCTACTCTCAGACCTCATAAACCTTTCCCTGTCAACTGGCACCATTCCCACCCCCATAAAAACAGCTGTCATCACCCCTATCCTAAAAAAAACCTTCCCTCCTGCACTCATCACTGCTCACAAGCTACCGCCCCATCTCCAACCTCTATCCTCTGAGGGATAAGGAGTCATTGCGGCTGGATGAGAAAGGTCACAGAGTCTGGTGCAGGAGAGGACATGAGCTGCAGAGTTCTGGATGATCTGCAGCCTGTGGAGGGAAGAGTTGGGAAGGCTGACAATCAGGGAGTTGCTGTAGTCGAGCCAAGATGTGATGAATTTGGGTTTCCAGCAGCCTGGGGTGCGAGGCTGTGCCAGAGCTGGGCAATTTTGCAAAGGTGAAGGAATGCAGAGTGGGTCATAGCATGGATGTGGGGGAGTAAGGACAGTTGAGGGTCAAACAAGACACCTGGGTCCCTGACGAGCTCAGTGAGGTGGAGTGTGCATCTATGGACGAATACAATGGGGGAGAGCTGCATTGTCAGAAATTCCAGATGAGATACTAAACTAAGGTCTTTTCTTGCCTATTCCAGTTCCAGATCCCATGGCACTAATCAAAAATAGGAGGGAATTGCTCGCGGTTTCCTGGCCAACAATCCCACAAACTGGCTGCCACGTTTGCCTACAAAATACACAGTTACTGTACTTTACAGGAAAACCCTGTGAAGTATTTGAGACAACATTACATTTGTAAAGCTCCTTTCACATCGGGAGGACGTCCCAAAGCGATGGACAGACAGAGTTTCGGACCTGAGCTGGGGGTTGGGATCAGGGAGGGTGGAAAGCGGGGCGAAGCAGGGAGATCGAAAGCATGGTTGAAGAGGAGGGTTTTGAGATGGGTCTTGAAGGAGGTGGAGGTACTGCGGGATGGAGTTCCAGAGGGTGGTGGCAGAGTGGAAGAAGGCCCAATAGTTGGGCGATGAGGCGAGGGACGTGAAGCAGGCCGGAGCCCACTGACCGGAGGGAGCGAGCAGGATGGTAGGGGGTTAGGTTGCAGAGGTAGGTGGGAGCAAGACCATGGAGGGCTTTGAAGGTGAGGACCAGGATCTTGAATTGTATCCTCTGTATGATGGGAAGCCAGAGGAGTCGGGCGAGGGTGAGGGTGACAGGTTTGCGGAACCTAGTGGGGAGATGACACAGGTTGCAGAGTTCTGGATGATCTGCAGCCTGTGGAGGAAGGAGTTGGGGATCTGACAAGCAATGAGTTTGCATAGTCAAGCCTCGATGTAATGAAAGTGTGTATGAGGGTTTCGGTGGCCTGCGATGTGAAACAGTGGCGGAGTTGGGCGATGTTGCGGAGGTGGGGGAAGGCAGAGCGGGTCATGGCGCAGATGTGGGGTAGAAAGGATAGTTGAGGGTCAAACAAGACTGCAAGGTTCTGGACTGGCTTAGTAAGGTGGAGTGTACAACCATGGATGGTGATGCTGTCAGCGCCTGAAGTGTGGATGTGCTGATGGGAGCCAATCAGGAGAGTCTCGGTCTTGTTGACATTCAACTGAAGAATGTTAACTCTCATCGAGGACTTGATATCTGACAGACATTCTGTCAGGACAGCAGTGATCCTGGAGTCAAGGGTGGAGGCAGACAAGTACAGTTGGGTGTCATCCACATACATGTAGAAATTTGGAAGTTGATCCCATGTTTGCAAATGATGTTACCAAGAGGGAACATATAGATATTGAAGAGGAGGGGACCAAGAACAGAGCCCTGAGGAACACTGCACGAGATGGTGTGGTGGTTAGTGGAGAAACCGTTTGTGGAGATGAAGTGGAGGCAGTGTGAGAGGTACGATCTGAACCAATCACGGACAGAACAATGAAGGTTGAGGTGAGAGGAGAGGTGGTGGATGAGAATAGAGTGGTCGACGGTGTCAAAGGCGGCAGAGAGGTCAAGGAGGATGAGGAGGCAGAGGGAGCTGGACAGAATGTCATTTGTTTCTTTGACCAGAGCTGTTTCTGTGCTGTGGGTGGCATGGAAACCCGATTGGAGGGTTTCGTGAAGGGAGTGGCGGGAGAGGAAGGAGCGAAGCTGGGAAGCAACAATTCATACCAGGACCTTGGAGAGGAAAAGAGGAAAAGAAAGTTAGAGATGGGGCGGTAGTTTGAGAGTAGAGATGGGTCCAGCGAGGTTTTTTAAGGATAGGAGTGATCGTGGCCATTTTTAATGGGATGGGAACAGTACCAGTGGACAGGGAGAGATTTATGATGCCTGTGAGTAGAGGGACAAGGAGATGGAGCTGAGAGGTAAGGAGAGGGGTAGGGATGGGATCGAGGGAGCAGCTGGTTGGTTTCATGCCGGTTATAGTGGTGCTGAGAAAGAAGTGGGAGACAGATTTGAAGGTGTGGAGGGAGGGTTGGGTAGGGGCTGGAGTGGGAGGGGGAGATGGAGAGGGTGTAGCAGACGGAATGGCAGAGGCAGCTGAGCAGATTCCATCAACCTTTGGAGTGGAGGTGGCTGGTGAACCATGATGACTTATGTGAATAGGAGATGGTTTGGGAAGAGAGGGGAGTAAGGAAATCGAGAGTGGAGAAGCGGGAGCTGTGGAGAAGAATGACCGAGGAGGATAGGTCATTGCAGGTGGAAGCCCAGAGGGGAAGGAGTTCTCAGGCAGCCGAGAGGGAGGGTGGCAGATTTTTTTCCAGGGGCGGTATGAGATGGAAGTGGGTTGGGGGTGGTGGGGAGAGGGATTGAGGAGTTAAGGGAGATGAAGTGATGGTCCGAGATCGCTTTGTCAATGGTGGTGAAGTCCGTGACAGTGAGGCCCCGGGAGATCACCAGGTCGAGGGTGTTGACTGCGGACGTGGGTGATGGAGTGGATGTGGAGGGAGGGGTTGAGGGAGGAGATAAGGGAGAAGTCAGCAGAGGCAGAGCAGGAGGAGGTGAAATGAAGGTTGAAGTCGCCTAGGATGAGGTGGCGTTTGGAGCAGAGGGAGAGGGAAGATAGGTGGGTGGAGATGTCAGGGATGAAGATGGGGAGGGCTTGGCAGAGCGATAGATAAGGAGAATTTTGAGGGAAAGGTTGAACGGGTGATAAAA